ATTTTGTTGCAATTGCCATGTGATCTGCTGTGATTGGTCACAGCAATCACTTGGTATCAGCCTCGGCCCGGTACAGTGATCTGCCATCGACTGGGTCCAGTGGACACAGCCGGTGTCAGATTGCACCACGCTCTGGGAGGATGTCATATGACATCCACCTGGAATGACGAAAGTGCTGCCCGGCCGTCATTTTTCAATAGACTGGGCAGGAAGTGGTTAACACATTTACTTTTTTTTTTTTTTTTTTGCAGTTTTGTATATGTACCCACCAATTTTTTTTTTTTAATATGTTATGTTTATTTCCCCTGCAGCCACCATTTGTAATGGAGAAATGGATTGTTGGGATAGCTGAAGATGAATCGGTGGAGTGCACTGTAACATATGAGGTAATTGCTAGTATATATACAATAAAAGGTCTTAGGTCTTCAACTGTGGGTATAGGATTATAACTTTTTTTTTTATGTGGTTGAACTGGATGGACTTTTGTCTTTTTTTCAGCCAGACTAACTATGTAACATATATTCCTATAGGCTGATCTGAGGTCTGAAATTTACAATAAAGGTACAAGGCTGATTTGAGGTCTGAAATTTGCAATAAAGGTACAGGGCTGATCTGAGGTCTGAAATTTGCAATAAAGGTACAGGGCTGATCTGAGGTCTGAAATTTGCAATAAAGGTACAGGGCTGATCTGAGGTCTGAAATTTGCAATAAAGGTACAGGGCTGATCTGAGGTCTGAAATTTATGCATCAGGGCTGATCTGAAGTGTAACGTTTATTCATTGAGGCTGATCTGAGGCCTGAAGTGCATGCACTGATGCCTATCTGAAGCCCAAAGTGCATGCACTGGGGGTGATCTGAGGCCTGATGTGCATGCAGCGGGGTTGATCTGAAGTCTAAAGTTTATTCACTGGGGCTGAACTGAGATCTGAAGTGCATGCACTGGGGCTAATCTGAGGTCTAAAGCTTATTCACTAGGGCTGATCTGAAGTTCATGCATCGGGGCTGATATGAGGTCTGAAGTGAATGTTTTTTGGTTGATCTGAGGTTTAAAGTTTTTTACTAAGGCTGAACTGAGATCTGAAGTACATGCATTGAGGCTGATCTCAGGCCTATAGTGCATGCACTGGGGCTGATCTGAGGTCTGAAGTCCATGAATTTGGGCTGATCTGAGATCTGAAGTCCATGCATCCGAGCTGATATGAGGTCTGAAGTGCATGCACTGGGGCTGATCTGAGGCCTATAGTTCATGCAATGCAGCTGATCTGAGGCCTATAGTGCATGCACTGGGGCTGATCTGAGATCTGAAGTGCATGCATTGGAGTGGATTTGAGATCTGAAGTGCATGCACTGGGGTGGAACCAGGGGCAGACTAACAACTCATGGGGCCCCCGGGCAATAGGGGATCATGGGGCCCCTGTGTCCTTGCCCTTACTCAAAAAAACCTATGAAAAAGGTACCAGGGGCATCTCATGGGGCCCCCTACTGACCCCGGGCCCTCGGGCAGTGCCTGAGTTTCCAAATGGTCAGTCCGCCCCTGGGTGGAACTGATATCTAACGTACATACACTGGGGACAATCTGAGGTCTGAAGTGCATACATTATGTAGTAATTAATGAATTGAACTTGCCATTAGCAGTACAGGTATGAGTGCAAGAAATGAAAACAAATGAAGACTACAGTGCAGTCACTGGCATGCTGGTTGTCTGTTTGTGACTACAACACTTAATGTGGAAAAGGTTGCTGACCCCTGAACTGTTAGAATAAGCTGCAATGTTATTTCTGTCTTGAAAGAAACATATTTTCACAAATGAGAACCCTGCATACAGCTCATTATACCTGTACCTTATTAGTAATTCCAGCCAACAAGTGATAGCAGTCAGTGAGCCTTTGATGCTATGTAGGATATATAGCATTAGTACAAAAGTCAGAGGTTTACAGCAATGTGAGTTCTAACGTACGGCAGCCAGAGGTTTCCGTTGTTCATGTGTGGTGAGTGGATCTGTTTCCTAAGCCTGGGCTTTGTAAATTGATAAGATCACCTTAGGTCTTTCTGTCTTATTCATCATGCAGTAACCTATAGTTGTTGTTATATAATGTGAGCTTTTTGCTGGATCTGCCTCTGGCTTGCTTGATGGTAATTCCCATCTATGAAGAAGAAGGCTCCATTTTTTTTTCAAACCCATTCAGTTACTGCTGAGCACGTACAAACCAGAATGTCAGCATGCTGTATCATTTATATGTAGATCTATCACTAGCCTGCACAGAGGTCCATAGACAATGCAGACCATTAATTAATAAACTGCATGCTTATACAGTGCCTTGAAAAAGTATTCATACCCCTTGACATTTTCCACATTTTATCATGTTACAACCAGAAACGTGAATGTATTTGATTGGGACTTTATGTGATAGACCAGCACAAAGTGGCACATTGTGAAGTGGAAGAAAAATGAGAAATGGTTTTCAAACATTTTTTAGAAGTAATATGTGAAAAGTGTAGCGTGCATTTGTATTCAGCCTCCCTGGAGTCAATACTTTGTAGAACCACCTTTCGCTGCAATTACAGCTGCAAGTCTTTTTGGGGATGTCTCAGCTTTGCACATCTAGAGAGTAAAATGTTTGCCCATTCTTCTTTGCAAAATAGCTCAAGCTCTGTCAGATTGGAAGGAGAGCGTCTGTGAACAGAAATTTTCAAGTCTTGACACAGATTTTCAATTGGATTTAGGTCTGGACTTTGACTGGGCAATTCTAACACATGAATATGCCTTGATCTAAACCATTCCATTGTAGCTCTGGCTGTATGTTTAGGGTCGTTGTCCTGCTGGAAGGTGAACCTCCGCCCCAGTCTCAAGTCTTTTGCATATTCTAACAGGTTGTCTTCTAAGATTGCCCTATATTTGGCTCTATCCATCTTCCCATCAACTCTGACCAGCTTCCCTGTCCATGTTTCATGGTGGGGATGTTGTATTCAGGGTGATGTGCAGTGTTAGTTTTCTGCCACACGTAGCGTTTTGCTTTTAGGCCAAAAAGTAAAATTTTGGCCTCATCTGACCAGAGCACCTTCTTCCACATGTTTGCTGTGTCCCCCACATGGCTTCTCACAAACTGCAAACGGGACTTCTTATGGCTTTCTTCTTGCCACTCTTCCATAAAGTCCAGATTTGTGGAGTGCATGACTAATTGTTGTCCTCTGGACAGATTCGCCCACCTGAGCAGTGGATCTCTGCAGCTCCTCCAGAGTTACCATGGTCTCCCTGGCTGCTTTTCTGATTAATGCTCTCCTTGCCCAGCCTGTCAATTTAGGTGGATGGCCATGTCTTGATAGGTTTTCATTTCTGCCATACTCTTTCCATTTTCGGATGATGGATTGAACAGTGGTCCGTGAGATGTTCAAAGCTTGGTATATTTTTTTAAAACCTATCCCTGCTTTAAACCTCTCCACAACTTTATCCCTGACATGTCTGCTGTGTTCCTTGGCCTTTATGATGCTGTTTGTTCAATATTGTTCTCTAAAAACTTCTGAGGGTTTCACAGAACAGTTGCATTTATACTGAGATAAAATTACGCACAGGTGAACTCTATTTACTAATTAGGTGACTTCTGAAGGCAATTGGTTCCACTAGTTTTTAGTAAGGGGTATCAGAGTAAAGGGGATGAATACAAATGCACGCCACACTTTTCAGATATTTATTTGTCAAAAAATTTGAAAAACCAATTATCACTTTCCTTTCACTTCACAATTATGTGCCACTTTGTGTTGGTCTATCATATAAAATCTCAATAAAATACATTTACATTTTTGGTTGTAACATGACAAAATGTGGAAAATCTCAAAGGGTATGAATACTTTTTTAAGGCACTATATACCACTTGCTTATATAATGCAACTATATCATGTACTATTGTTTATAGAAAATTGCTCTGGACATAGGTGACTTTTATATATGGCACAATATATAGAAACAATGGCTAAGTGGTTAGAAGTTCCACCTAGACCTAGCACCACTAGGTTCAATGGTTTGTATCCCAGCTATGGCATTACCTGCACGGACTTTGCATGTTCTGCCTGTACCTGTGTGGGTTTCCTCCGGGTTCTAGGATTTCCTCTAGGTTCTGCGGTTTCCTCCCACACTCTAAAGACATGCTGTTTAATTGGCTCCTGTCTAAATTGGCCCTAGTGTGTGTGTGTATGAATTTGAGTTAACGATCTTAGATTGTAAGCTCCTTGAGGGTAGGGACTGATGTAAATGTACAATATATGTGTAAAGCTCTGCGTAAATTGGCAGCACTGTATAAATACCTGTAATAATAATAATAAACATAGTTTACTAATGGCAATGGTGGGCGAATAGTACCCTCAGGTCACCTACTGATCTTTTGAGACCTTGAGATACCTGATTGAATTAAATGGACAACATCAAATCAGTATTTGCATTCAGCCTTCAAATTGGAGAACACGTTGCTCCTTCCCTGCTTCCCCATACTTTCCCATACTTTAGTGCTGGGTGACTGATCAGTTGATAGTCAAACCTTTCAGGGCTTTAGATGTTTGAAACTTTCACAGGAATTTCAGTGTGCTCTATTGGCAGGTACAGGAGGCAGAAATGTGAGTTCAGCCCATCTATGCTGACCCCTCTAAAGCAAACCTGTTACATTGCCTAGTATGTACATAATACAGGTTCGCTTTAAAACTTGAAGCTTACACATGCTGAGTTTGCCAAGAGGTATCATCAGTGTAAATCCATTTCTGTTCTGCTGTTATGGTATACAATAAAGACTCTTCCAGACATTTAGGAGACAATGTGGAAAACTGTAGCTGGCAGCATAGTAATCAGTGATGGGGGGGACTGCAGCCAGCTGGCCCAGCACCCCCTAATAAAGATCTCATTGCCAATATCTTTGTATCTATTTTCTTCCTCTGTTGTGTTTTGGTTAATTTATATGCAGAGTGTTTATAGAGCTGTTTATTTTTTTTTTGTCCAACAGAGTGATGTCAGAACTCCTAAATTTACCAAACACATTCATAAAATTCACTGGAACAAGATGAAAAAACAGGACGCAGTGAAGTCGGTCCAACTAGCAATAAAGTCGCCACTGCTGAACTCCGAGAGCAAGCTCAGCAATGATTCTAGTAAGATTCTCAGAATCATCATTGTATTAAATGCTTTGCTGTTTAATTAAGCCAGCTCTGTAGTAAATGCTCAAAATCCCAGTTTTAGACGAGTAATAAACCAGAACCATTTATAGTGTATGTGATTGTTACAGGCTGGTGCCTATTTCCAGAGCCAACTATTATTTATACAGTGCTCAGTGTTCTCTTTTCTCCAGGCTTCATCCAGCACATGTCAGTTGAGGACTTGACCTTGCAAATGGTCATATTGCAAAAAACTCAGCTTCTATTGGGAAATGTATTTAATAGTAGAGATGCTGATATACCCAAAAGTGATATTTCTGCTCTGGATAGAATCACTCACTAGCTTATAATACATCTTAGGACTTCTGAGATTCAACCACCTGAGGTATCCTATGAGGGGTCTCCCCTCCCTGCTGGATTTTTCATTCATGTTACATTATAGAGATTGTAGCAGTAGGATTTAAACTCTCGCCGTCATGAACAAAAGAAGTAAAACTCTGTGGTAGGAGATGGTGGAGACATTCCAGCCAGCAGTGAAATCCTACCCCTGGGAGATGTAAGAAGTGTATAAGTAATTTAGCTCGGAAGTTTCTTTCCATACCCGAAATATCCGTTTTGAATAGACTGACCATTTAAAGTGGAACTAAAAGCTGCAAGATACTCACCTCCACCTTCCAGCAACACAGTGGTTATATCCCTTGCTGGCCGCTGTCATCTTCCCTCTGGGTTAGGTCGAGGTGCTCGGCTTTTGGCCTGCTGACTGGCCAGCGGGGCATGATGTGATCCTGCATATACACAAGGGAGTTGGTTATTCCGGCACAGCTAAATGCATGCACAGCTCAGTGTGCGTTCAGTAGAAGACTGCGAGTAGGCACATTAGCGTGGCTTATTGCAGATGAGACTTAGGATGTCTCTTCTCCAATAAAGAGCTTCCTCTTTATTCAGTAATGTTACTAGTATTCCTTCTTTTCAATACATACAGTTAATACCATTATGAAAAAAATAATGGATTTAAAAAATAAAGAATGCAGATAATACAAAGAAATAATCATTCTTGCAGATTTATCTTAGCATTTCAGAAGCTCAGATTTTCTAGTTACATTGCGAACTGAAACATTTACCAGTGAACACAGCTGAGAGAACGTTCAAGTTACCACCAAGTGGCACTGTTGCTCCCTGAAAGTTAAAACAACGCACTCCAAACTTCTGAAGAGTATGATTTATTTTGTGAGTTCTGAGTTACTTGTTAATTATAAGCGACATCCCAGATGCAGTGTATTTAGCTTCATTAGAAATAAAGTTCTGTTAGGTTAAAGAGGAAGTTCACCCACCTAAAATATTTTTATTTTACTTTCCTCTCTTACCTGGTTTCCTTGATTATCCCTAAAACACATATTATTGTTCACACATACTGATACATCCAGCAAATCCAGTGCTGCCCGCTGTAACCTGCTACCGCACGCTGGATCCTGTGTCATCAGGAGCTGGCTGTCTCTTCCAGGTTCTTGCAACTGGCCCCTGATGACATACTGCTGTGCATGTGCAGTGTGCTGTAGATGGCCCGAAGCCTCCTGGGAGGCGTGACATGAGTATCCTAGGAAGCTTTGGGCAGCTGGGCAAATCATTCTTGCCTAGGTGAAAATAACAGAAACATAGGCCGAGAGCTGAAAAAAAGGTAATTTCCCATTCTCAAAAAATAATATATCTGAAATTTAATTTAAGGGGGGAAGTAGCAATATTTTTGAAAGAAGAGTAAGGGGGTAAGAAGAGTAAGGTCTGCTTTAAATACCTATCCCAGGATAATAATTCAGGGCATTTGTTGAAAAATGTGAAAATATTAAGTTAGGAAAGTTTACACCGACCGTAACATTATGACTATGAACCATAACCTATCAAATATGCACTCCACTAGTCCTCTGAAGGTATGCTGTTGTATCTGGCACCAAACTGTCAGTAGCAGATCCTTTAAGTCCTGTAAGTTGCAAGGTGGGTCGTCCATGGATCAGACTTGTTTTTCCAGCACATCCCACAGATGCTCGATTGGATTGAGATCTGGAGAATTTGGAGCTCAAGTCAGCATCTCAAACTCGTATTCTTGAATTCATCAAACCAAGGCTGCCTTCTTCCATTGCTCCTGTGGTCCAGTTCTGATTTTCACATGCCAACTGTAGGTGCTTTTAGCTTTGGACTCGAGTCAGGATTGGCACTCTGACCAGTCTGTGGCTATGCAGCCCCATACACAACAAACTGCAATGCACTGTGTTCTGACACTTTTCTATCAGAACCAGCATTAACTTTTTCAGCAATTTGAACTTCAGTAGCACTTCTATTGCATCGGACTACACTGGCCAGCCTTTGCTCCCCACATGCATCAATGAGCCTTGGCCACCCAAGACCCTGTTCCTGGTTTGCTGGTTTTCCTTCTTTGGACCACTTTTGATAGGTCCTGACCACTGCCAATCCAGAACATCCTACAAGAGCTGCAGTTTTGGAGTTGCTCTGAGCTGGTTGTCTAGCCATACAGTTTGGGCTTTGTCAGAGTTGCCCATATCCTTATATTTGCCCTTTTTTTCTGCTTTCGACACATCAACTTCAGGGACAACATGTTTACTTGCTGCCTAATATACCCCACCCACTTTCTGGACACTGAGAAGAACAGATAGTACACTTGATCCTAGCCAAGAGGCTGAGAAGCAAAGGGCAGACATTGTAGGCACAGCTTATCTTGGTGATCGAAATAGATTTTCTTACCTGCCCAACCAATTGGTCTTCCCAGCAGAAGCTCACTGCCACCACCTCCGAGGCCCCATACACAAGAGATCTTGGCTTGATCTGGTTGAAAAAAGTCTAGACTGGACAAATATTATCTCATGTCTGTATGTAGCTTTACAAAATTTCTTATCAGGCAATCTGCACCTTAGGTAAAATGTGAAAAGAAGCCAGTTAGTATAGCTTTATTGCTGGTCCAGAACTGATAAAAGTTTGGAAAAGCGTGACTTAATAATCCTATTATTTAAATAAGGGGTATAGGCAGCCCTGGCCTAATAGCAGCTATAGTTTTGTACAGGAGCCTCTTCTTCATTCAGTTGATTCACCTGAACTGCAGGTCTTACTAGTGTCACCAGTTGATTTATAGACAGACCCATGACACTACTATCTCTAGAACATTTTTTATCTGATTTAAAAAAACAAAAAAAATCAACTTTTAAAAATATGTAGCTATAACCCTCTCTTGACAAACGTGTTGATATTTCATGTATATAAGGGCTTATAAATATAATACAAAAAAGACATTCAAAAAAGTGTTGCTATTGATACAGTAACAAATGCAGGAAAAAAATCCAATAATCTGACAGCATTTAACGTACTTTGATACATTATCAGCAATTTCAAGCCAGAAGGTACAGCTTGAGTCAGAGCTGGCTGCATTGTCCTGCAAAGGCATCATGGGACAAGAAGTTTGTCTTTCAATTCAAATAAAAACATAATCTTACCTTCACTATGATATTAATGGCATTTCCTTTTCCACAGGTGTGGACGACCAGTGGATCTACATGTTAAGAATGCGTCAGATGGCGATGGACAGGTCTCCTCAGCATCCAGCTGGCTTACCTCGCTCCCAGTCCTCTAGCCTTAATAATCTGTCACAGATTTTACCATACCTTCAAAACCAGGAATCATACGCTGCTGCTGTCAGACGAGTGCTTGTGAAATCCACGTTACAAGTTACTCCTATCACTTACTCACGCAGTTCATCACCAACCCAGTTTGGACTGACTTTATCCTCCTTGTCTCTCCATAGTTCTAAAGGCAGCAGTGCTTCTAGTACAGCTTCAGATAGTCCCTCTGAGAGAGAGAGGACACGGAATAGGGCAAAGAGAAACTATTTTCATCAAAATTCTCATAGCTCATCCGCACAAAGAAGCGGAGGAAAGAGTTCTCAAGCAAGCAGTGGGAAATATTACAAGTCCTACACAGTATCCCAAAATCAACCAAGGACTTATGATTATAAAACCTCACAGAAATGGCCTAAGTCAGAGTCGACACATACCGGGGATGCCAGTGCCAACCACAGAAGAGGTTGATGGAGAAGAAAGCAAGGTTAATAATGATGGAGGGTGGATAAAAGTAGAACATTCCAAAAAAAATCATAAGCAACCTATACCAATCAAGTCAAAAAAAGATAAACCCAAAGCATCTAGTCGTAGTCGTCAATAGCATCAGTTTACACTTTTATTTATTTTTTAAAAATGGTAATATTTTTATCTAATTTAATTGGATTTTTTAAACATCAACAGAACCGTAACAATTTACATATATATTTATATTTTTGCATACACATTATCAAGTGCAAATTGCAATTTACAAATAAAAGAATATCCCCTTTCATATGTGATGGACTTAGTATTTATTCCTTTTTTTATTTTACCAGAGATATTCAGACAGGTAGAGAAGTGTCAAAATGTCAGAACCAATATAAAGGTGTTAAAATCTCTTGAATCGCCACAGCCCATGAGCACAGTGAGGGTATGGGTTTAGTTACTAAAGGCAAATAGGCTGTTCATTTTGCTAGGGGAGTTGCAATTCGCAAGGGAATTTGCACCAGAGCTTAGTGAATGTAGTGAAGGTTCCCTTTGCAAAGAATAACCAATTCCGAGAATAAAAAATAACATAAGAGAAATTTTGCTTGTCCATTATTGGATGAATGAAGTCAGCACAGCTTCACCTCATTAATAAACTCTGGAGCAAATTCCAATGCAAAGTGAACAGCCTATTTCCCTTTACTAAATCAACCCCAGTATGTCTACAATTATAAAAGAAGTAGTTTACAGCGGGGGAGCACAGCCCAGGCAATTGGCCATGCTATTTCCAAAGCAAACATTTTTTTGGTCAGCTTACTAAACAAGGTCTACGTTCTAAAGACAAACCTCCTATAGAGAATTTGTGTCTAAAAATGACTGCATGCAATATCTACTATTTATGACATACTTTTTCAACATGCCTTTTCTCATAATCCAATGTACACTCATTGGCCACTTTATTGGGTACACCTGTTCAATTGCTTGGTAACACAAATTGCTAATCAGCCAATCACATGGCAACAACTCAATGCATTTACGCATCTAGACATGAAGACGACTTGCTGAAGTTCAAACTGAGCATCAGAATGGGGAAGAAAGGGGATTTAAGTGACTTTGAATGTAGCATGGGTGTTGGTACCAGATGGGCTGGTCTGAATATTTCAAAAACTGCTGATCTACTGGGATTTTCACACACAACCATCTCCAGGGTTTACAGAGAATGGTCCAAAAAAGAGAAAATATCCAGTGAGCAGCAGTTGTGTGGACGAAAATGCCTTATTGATGTTAGAGGAGAATGGGCAGACTGCTTCGAGATGATAGAAACACAGCAGTAGGGTCAGAATTTGGTGTAAACAACATGAAAGAATGGATCCATCCGCCTTTTATCAATGGTTCAGGCTGGTGGTGGTAGTGTAATGGTGTGGGGGGGTATATTTTCTTGGCACTAGCAAGTACCTAATAAAGTGGCTGGTGAGTGTATATCGGGGACTGGGAGTGAGATTTAGGCCACCCGCTTTCATTAGAAGACTGGGAAAAGTCATTTTTTAAAACATAAATCAAGCCTCTCAATTCAGATAGAAAAGAGCAATTACAAAATCGTATCCAAGTGGTATTGATGCCCTGACAGAAAACAAGAGATGCTACCCAATTGTCCATTTAATTGTTGGCACTGCGGTAAGGAACTTGGGACAATTCTACATCTGTGGTGGTCGTGTCCGTATTTGAGACCATCCTGGTAGGCTATATTTCGACTTATAGTACATATTGCAGGCACTAGATTGCCTGAACTACCGGAAGTGCCCTTATTTTCTATCTTTCCAGGATCACCATGGATGGCCAAAGAGGGTTTAACATGCTTTATTTTTGCCACAGCCAGGGCTATTATACCAAGACATTAGAATTCTAATGTTGTACCTAGTATTAAAGAATAGATGTCTGAATTGAATGATATTATGCACATTGAGGAACACACAGCGAGTTTACAAGATAAATACCCTAAATGTATAACCAAAATGGGAGGCTTGGAAGGATTTTTGTACCTCGGATACTTTTAGACTCTCCCTGTGAACTAGTTTTCTACCATATTTGAACATGGGGAACTAAGATGAAAAGTCCACTGGGAAAGGCCCCCCCCCCTTTTTTTCTCTCTTTGCTCTTTTTCTCACTCCTCTCCCTCTTTCTTAGTGTCTGCTAATTACATTAATGGTTTATGGTCTCGGGATGCAAAGATCTATGCACGAAAATAAATTTGAATGGCAAATAAGCTCGAATTGTGTTTTTGAGTTTGTTCATAAAGTTAAAGGATAATTTTTGCAGTTAGATCTCTTTACCTGAATAAGTGTATCATGAAAAAATGGTTCAATAAAGCTTTGAAACTCCCCACGAAAAAAAAATAGGCAAAGTGTCAGCAAAGGGGAAAACTGGGAACTTTTGGCATAAGGGACAAAGACAACCAACTGGCCCTTTCATGGTAGGAAAAGTTATTTACAAGAAATGTGTGGCAGCGCTGCAGTGATTGGTGGGCATAATGGCAGACCCATTACCAAAGTTAACAAATAGCTTGCCACCAGATTCTGTCCATCTTTACTTAGTAAATCCCTCTTCAATGTATTTTGTCATTTAGAAAAAGAAACAAAAAAATCCAAATTATACCTCTAATGTCAAATTAGAGATTGTATTGCTGGCGAGGCATCACCAATATCAGGATCGCTATGCAAGGTCAACCAGGGAAGTGAATTACTCACCTACGTACTTCCATGTGTAAGGCAGGCCATAGATGACGTGATTTTCTTTCCTGCAATCATTGTGGGGCTATGATTAATGCTAATGGCAATAGCTGCTGGCAAAAATCACATGCTGAAAATCTGACATGCTGGTTGTACCCAAGTCGATTGATGGATATGGGTGCAATCAGCCTGCCCATAGATGGATCAAATCTCAGCTGGTCCCTGCTAAACAAGATTTGATCCATCCATGGCAGGCTTAACTCGCACACATGAGCAAGACCATGCTCCTTTGCTGGCGGCTTACGTTCTGCAACATTTCAAACTGGGAGGGAAGAACACCTTTCTCATCCATCGTGGGAGGGGGGGTTGACATAGGACGTACACTATAAAGACTGTGACTGAGCATATGAAGCATTGTAGTTCTATATTACTATCTAGCCTTCATATCAAGTTATTAAAGTGATTGTAAAGGTAAAAATCTAAAAAAAACTAACAAACATGTCATACTTACCTGATCCGTCCAATGTTTTTGCACAGGACAGCCCTGATCCTCCTCTTCTCAGGTCCCCCGCCGGTCCTTCTATCTTTTCACCCCATAATAATCTGCTTGCTATGGGGGCACTTATGTGGGCTCACTTCCAGGCCGTGCTCTGTGTCAATTGAGACACACTGTGTGGCTTGGCTCCGCCCCCACTGCCTATTCACTGCCTGGTTGACAGTAATAGGAGCAATTGCAAAACAAAGTATTTGTGTTTTTGTTCCTCTGTTTTTTATACATATTTTATTGTCATGAATGCCACCCGACTTTTAGAATGTGCATAACTGTATGTTATGATATACCCTTGCATAATGCTGATACATATTCTTGTATGTGTTGTCTGTTCATCTGTCCCCTGATGCTCACAGCTGCCCGCCATCTCTCCTAGATGATCTGAGTTCTCTGTTGTGCTGTGCTTGAAGGGTGGTGTTTTGGATTCTTTGCTCTATGGCTGTGCAGTGCTGGAGGGGTGAATACAATTACCGGCAGTTGTTCACATAAAGGGGAGGTGGATGCATAGATAGACAGGCTTGAGAAAGAGGCGTAGCCACGCCCCCGGAGTCTGCCATCACTGCTGAGGTTCCCAGTTTGACTGCCATGCCTTACACTCTTCACAGGGGTTCAGTGTTCTGCTTTGCTGGACGTTCTTCTGGATACACACTGACAAGTCAGTCCAAAAAAATGCTGTGTAACAGGACTTTCATTTCTGGCAGATCAAACGATATTTTTCTGTACTTGCAGGGTGAAGGGATAAAACATGTGCATGTAATTCTGATACGTCCTGTATATGTTTTTAACTTTGACATATGTTTCTAGACTGCCTCCCAATTTTGGAAGAGGAAGATGTTGAGTCTTCATATTTTGTACAATGTGTAGCATTTGACCAACTTAAAGTGTTTGTAAAAGTTCAAACTTTATATTTTTTAAATAAACATCTGATACTTACCTGACACTTGTTATGGGAGCATTCATGCGAACTCGCTCCCGAGCTGGCTCTGTGTGTCCATGAGTCCCCCCGCTCTCTCCTCTTTGGCTGTGGCTTACAGTACCAGGTGTCAATGGCTCCTGCTGCTGTATCTAAGCCAATGAGCCAACGCACGCGGAATGTGGGTTTCCTGCACCTCATTCTGGTGTGAATCAGCCTTTAAAGTGATTCCACTTTACAATTTTATTTTAATAATCATCTCATACTTTCTTGCTCTGTGCAATTGTTTTGCACAGAGGGGCCCTGAACCTCCTCTCCTGGGGTCCCCTGTTGGTACTGTCCACTCTTTCTCTTCTCCATCTGTCCCCATAGCAAACCGCTTGTTATGGGGTCAGACATACAGACTCAATCCCGAGCTGGGCTGTGTGTATCCATAGACACACACAGTTTGGCTTGACCCTGCTCTCTTCTCACAGGATTTGATTGACAGCAGCAGGAGCCAATTGCCCCTACTACTATTGACTCTCCTGTGAGAAGAGAGAGAGGGAAGAAGGCTCCACTGCTGTCAAAGGCAGTTATGTGAGAGTGAGGGGTGGGGCTCAGCCCTGCTGTCTGTGTCGATGAACGCAGATAGACAGGCTCGGGAGCAAATCCACACGAGTGCCCCCATAGAATGCCCCTGCAATATGAATTTCAATTCTTTCGAGATACTCCCCAAGGGTTAAATACTTATTTAGGGATACAGTCCATGCAGCTTTTCTCATTAGAACACTACCAGTGCACTAGCTGATTATAATGAACCACATCTTCCAATTCAGATTCAGTATGCAAAGGACATGCCAAAAAGTTATTTCTTCAGAACAACAAAAAGAAGAAATCTGCTACAGTGAACTTTGATCATCCAGTGGGAATAGTTTTTT